ATAATAGCCAAAACCTGAAACAACCCAAATGCCTATCAACTGGTGAATGGATATACAGATTACAGTATAATAGGAACAACAGATTACTATTTAGCAAGAAAAATGAATGAATTACTAATATACAAAACATGGATAAATAGCAAAATAATTATGCTGAGTGAAATAAGCCAGACTCCCTCCCAAAGTAGACCGTACTGTTCAATTTACATAAAATTTACACAAAATTCTAGAAAATGCAAGCTAACTGATAACATACCAGATTAGTGGTATAGTGAATTGAATGTCGGCCTCCAAAAAGATACATCCACATCCCAATACCTTGAAGCTTTGAATGTTAACTTTACTTGCAAAATAGGTCTTTGCAGACACAATTAAGGATCTTGAGATAAGATCATTCTGAATTATGCAGGTGGCACTTAAGTCTAATGTCAACTATTGTTATAAAAGGAAGGCTGAGGAAGATTTGAGACAGACAGGGAGAGACCCAGAGAAGAGGGAGCAGTATGATTACAGAAGCACAGACTGGCATAACTGGCCAAAAGGCAAAGAATTCCAAAAGATACCAGAAGCTGGAAGAGGCAAAGAATGGATTCTTCCCTAGAGCATGTAGAGAGGGTGTAGCCCTGCTGATGTCTTGACTTCAGATCTCTGGCCAGAACTATAAAAGAATTAATTGCTGTTGTTTCAAGTTACTGATTATCATGATTGTAGTGATGGGTGTGGACATACATAAAAACTTACTGTGTACTTTAAAATGTGTCCATTATACATTAATAAAGTTGTTAAAAAGAAAAAAGGCATGAGTCTAAAATGAGACTCCACTTGTAATATTTGGTCTTTTCCAAGGAATCCATATAATATTGGTACATGGTGCTTTCTCAGAAAACTGAACCTAAGATGAAACTCCACCATATGAAGAATAGCTGAATAACCCCAGAATATTAAAATTGGAAAAACTGATATTCAAAGATACGAAGTATTGCCATATGCAGGAAAAAAAACCATTCTCACCTTCCATGAACTCCCTTAGAACTGAGACCAACGACGTCAGTTCTAGTGACACAGATTTTGGTTTAAAGAACTTGACATCAGCGCTGTCCATAGATAAAACAGCTTTTGGAGGAGCTAGTTCATGGGAGACTTTATTTAGATATTAGAGTGTATGCTCCTCTTTGACTCTTTCCTCTGTTGGATTCTGTTTTTCTTGAGCTCTTTATCTTCTCCAATCCCTGCTTTTTTCCCTCTGATATTTTTCTGGTACATGTACTTGCAGTAGTTTTCAGAAAAGGAAAAGCTGGGATAAAATGTTTTTGAAACTTTGAATGTCATACTTATCTTTTGGCTGGGAATAAAATTCTAGGCAAAACTCCAAGTATTGCTCTTTTGCCTTTTATCTTTCTGTGACGTCATTGAGAAGGCTGGTGCTATTCTGTTTTCTAAGAATCTTCTCTTTATCCTAGTGTTAGGAAATTTTACAACTTTGTACTTTGCTTTAGGTTTTCATTTTCCCCCTGTTGGGCAGGCTACTAATGGGATTTTCAATCGGATTCATGTCATCTATTTCTGAGAAATTGTCTTGTATACAAATATACATATTTTTAAATATTACCTTTCCTTCCATCGGTTTTCTCTTCCTGGAACCCCTGCTAGTTTAGTTAGACTTCCTGGATTGAGCTTTTTCTTATTTATCTTTCAGAAGTGTTTGAGTGTTTAATTTGAACTATCATATTTTTAATTTCCAAGAGCTGTTCTTGTTCTCTGAACAGTCCATTTAAAAAGTAACATTTTGTTCACATTTCATAGAAGCAAGATCATCTCATCTGTCTGAAGATTTAATTTTCTGAAGTTATTTCCCCCCATTACCTGAATTATCTGCTTCTTTAAATTTTTTTTCCTGTCTGATTTTTTTATTCATGCTGGAAGCATTCCTCAAATGTCTGCTGATCCTTAGCTATTAAAGTGAGTTGTAATGTGTTGTCGATATATACAGCAAGTCTCCCCTCATCAATAGTTTTGCTTTCCACAGTTTCAGTAACCTGAGGTCAACTGCAGTCTGAAAGCAGATGATTCTCTTTCTGATGTATCAGAAGGTTAAAGCAGCTTTAACTTTGTCACAAAGCCTACATCATTCATCTCAACCCATAGGCATTTTGTCATCTCATATCATAAGAGGGAGTATAGTACATGGTATTTTGAGAGACTACATTCACATAACTTTTATTACAGTGTATTGTTACGGCTGTCCTATTTTATTCTTACTGTTGTTAATCTCTTACTATGCCTAATTTTTTAAATTAAACTTTATCACAGGTCTATATGTATAGGAAAAAACACAGTACATATAGGGTTCAGGACTATCCAAGGTTCAGCCATCCATTGGTGGTCTTGGAACATACCCCTGTGGAAAAAGAGACTACTGTAGTGTGTTGGTGGGAAGATGGATGTGTACAGTTTGTTGGTGAGAGTGGAGGGCTCCATACTGGAGGCTGTTGCTGACTTGGCTTTAATGTAATCAAAAGGGTTATCAACTAAGGTTGTTTTTGTTGGTGGACCCTCCATATACATCTGTAGGACTTTTTCTGGAGTTGTTTTCCCAAAAATGATCTTTCAATCTCTTGCCTGAAGGTATAAGCCTGACTGTCAATATTTTGGGAGTGGGATGGCGGGAGGGACTGGAAAGTCTCCCTTTTAAGTGTATAGACTTTAACTTGTTCCCTATTTTCAGTTTATCAACTTATTTGTGTTCCTGAATTGGGAACCTCTATGGTTCAATCTCTCCAGAGCCTCTTCTAGGGTGGAAAAAAGCTTAGTCACCTAGCTTCATTGTTTGGGGCATCTAATGCAAGCTTTGAACCAATCCCCTAGTTTTAATTCATTGTTCAACTCTGCCTTCTGTAAAGCCTTGGTATCTTAATACTTTCCTGGGGTTTGCAGAGACCAATAGCCTTACCCATGTCAATACCCCATTCTCAGGAATTTAGGTTTTAGATTCTCCCCTCATCTAAGTCTGTAAGAATGGGAATAGTATTTGCACATCAGAATCCAACATACCATCTGGTCCCAAAGGAATACTCAACAGATGTTTGTTTAATGAATGAAGGTCTAGCTAAGTGACTTAAAGTGAGTGCTAAAATTAGAGCAATAATTTCTTATCTGTCAAGTGTGAGCAGTATCCCCAACTTTCCAGTTTCACAGGGTTGTTGTGAACTCTGAGTGAAAATGCTTTATAATATGTAAGAATTCCTTGTGCAGCTTGGTTTCTGAAACAAGTAGGGGTTTTATGCCACTGGAATATATACTCTACTAAAATCTTATTTTTTATGTATATGAGCTTTGTCTTTTTTATCCTCATCTGGTAGAATCATCTTTTCTTCCTTTTCCTGCTATCGCTGTTGAATCACCACTCAGCTTCCAGTCACTGTGGTAGCTCTAAGGAATCCCTCCAAGATGTAGGGAGTATTCATACCAATTTGCCTTTTTCTGGGGTAATACACTTCAAAGAAGTAAGCCTTCATCTAAAGGCAATATTTTTAACAAAACTTCAGGATTTTCTAATTAGTAAATCCTTTAAGATTCATCTATAGAAGTTGGTTCTTCAAGTACCAGATATTTATAGTGACAGTAAAGAATAACTAGGTATAATACTTAGGTAATCCTAAATTTAACTAGGATTATGGAGTGAGGAATTCAATACTTTTCTTCTTCTTCTTCTTTTTGGTAACAAGAAGGCATTAGAGGTGACGTTGGTCACAACTTGCAGAGTTCAGTGATCAGTACGTAGATGCCATATCTCCCCAAGTACAATCTAAGACTACTTTTCTAGGGCTTAAAAATTGTCTATTCAAAATGCAACTAACTGGAACACGATTCTGGGGCTTAAACAAATATTTGACAGAAGGTATAGGGTGGTAAGTGTTATTTATCTCCATGGTAAAAGTATAAGAGCTCAAATACATGGCCAGAACATTCTCTTTTTGTTGCTTCTAGTCTTGGACTTCTTGTCACAGATTTCCTAATAGCCAGAAAGAGTACAAAGAGCATACATTTAAAATTCTGGCCCCAAAGAGA